TAGGGACAGGGTAGTAATGAAGTATGATCCAAGTGGAGCCCTGAGCTGGAGTGGCAGAGTGGGAATGGAGGAGAGGTGCAATGGGTCCAAACCTTACAGTACCAGAAGGTCGAGGGCCCAAAGCCCTGTCAGGATGAGGAGGGAGGGAGAATTCTTTGGAGCCGGGGCAAGGCTGCTTTCTTTCCCACGTGGGTTGTTATAGAATATCATTTTAACTGGGCAAAGATGAGTCACATTTGTTTTTGCTGCAGAATATTACTTTATGTAAAGGTTGTTACATTTGTTTATGCTGTGTTTGTTTACTTATGTAAAGATGTGTGTTAATCATGTAAAGATGTGTTGCATCTGTTTTACCTTGCCTGCCTTTGGCACCTGATTGGTCTAATAAAAAGCTCAACAGCCAATAGCGAGGCAGGAGAGGGACAGGTGGGGCTGGCGGGAAGGGAATAAATAGGAGGTAAAATCTAGCTGGAGAGAAAGAGAAGAACAAGAGAAAAAAGAGAGAGAAGAAGAGAAGAAGCCAGACAGCCATCAGCCATCAGCCAGCCAGACATAGAGACAGCAAGAAAATAAGAAAAGGAAAAAGCCCCAAGGCAAAAGGTATATAAAGAGAAACAGGTTAGTTTAAGTTAAAAGAACTAGCCAGAAACGAGCCTGAGCTAGGACGAGCATTCAAAACTAGTAATAAGTCTCTATGTCATGATTTGGGAGCTGGTTGGTGGCCCAAAAGAAAAAGCCTGGTCCAGTGGGCAGAGCTCTGCCTGCCCAGATCCTCCCAGAGCCACAGACCAAGTAGAAAACAGGTGGGTGGCCACAACGCCACCTGCAGGCAACCTTCCGTCTCACTCTTGGAACCAGCTCTGGGTGGACTCTTATTGGTTCGTACTCCTGTCCATCTTTTGTTGGCCTGGAGGTCTTCCTGAACCCATCCTGCTGGCTGGACTCAAAGCTACTGCCACTGAGGGACGCCCTCATGAGCAGCTGCCCTCTCAGAAACAGATGACTGGCCCCACCCGTTCCTCCCTTCCCGTCTACCCGCTCAGACTGTGCCTTCTGGTGGTACCCGCTCATTAGCGGGGTGGCCTTGGCTTTCAATGCTTCGAACTTTAGCCCCTCCCACCTGTTTCCCAGTTCTGACTTTGTGCTTGGACTGGTTTCTCCCCACAAAGCACTCTGCGAAAGCAGTTACCTCCTTTCCTTGGGAAGATGTCCTCATTCCCATGCAGATGTTCTGAGTGTCGCAGCAGGCACCACATCTGTCTTGTGCAGCTCCAGTACCCACCTCAGTGTCTGGCAAGGAAGTGCCACTTTACAAACACCCATTGAGAGGCTGGATGACAGGAAGCGCAAGGGCCAGCTTTGAGAAGAGGAAATGTAGGTAGAATCTTGTCTCACTGGGAACAGCATTTAACTGTTCCGGGCCTCACTTGCTGAGTGTGTGAAATGGGACAATACTGCCTTCCTCCACGGGGCTTCATGAGGACCAACACGATAATGACATCAATGCCAGCCTCATGAGGGTGGTGCCGATTGCTATCTCTACGGCCTCTTACTAGTGACCACACTGCCATTGGTCCTTCCCACCACCGACTTCCGGCACCTCTGTTCCTCCTCCCAGAACCTCTGAGGTCCTAGGATGCTTTGAGCAGCTCGGGGTTTTTTGTTGTTGTTGTTTTGTTTTGTTGTTTTCCAGATCCTCTGGGTATATGCTCATGCCCTCCACAGCTCACAGGAGCTTCAAAGTCAAGGCAGAATGTTACCCGTCCTGCCCCTGCCTTGTGTCTGCTGACTGTTGGCGGCTAGGCTGAAAAGGCCTGCTCCTCCTTTGTGGGGCTCTTACTTTACTGGGTGCCAAACCCCCTTCCCCGTGCTGGTTTGCAGCAGGAGTCAGCCCAAAGGGCCAGCATGCAGAAGGGACACCGCTCAATGGCTGACGGGAGACGCTGTGGTCCTGATGAAGGGCCTTTATCGACCTCTCTCTGCAGAACAGGCTGCATTGCTCACAGGCCCGGGGACGGGAGCCCATCTGTCTGGGGCACAGAATGCCAGGAGGCTGGGATTTCTCATCCAAAGGCGACAAGGACTTCACATTGGGAGACATTAGTCTGATGAGTTCCCTGCAAGTGGAGGGACCGTCAGGCATTCATCACAGCCAGGGGGAGGCAATGTCAGGCTCTGGGACCAATCCCCCAGGGGTCCATCCTTTCTGGGAACTTCAGAACCTCTCCAGGTCTGAAGACAAGGATGAAAATCATTCTTGGAGTTCAGGACATCTCCGTCATCCTCGGAAGCCTCTCTGCCAGGGTGGGAGCTCTTCATGAGAACTTGGGCAAGCAGCTCAACACTCTGAGCCTCAGTTTCTCTGTCTGTAAAATGGTGCAAGAAAGAGACCTCCCTACTGGAGACTACAGAGACAAATTGAGATCCCATGCCAGCTGCCTCACTCCAGGCCTAGTAACAGTAGACACTGGACAGGCGCGAACCTCTAGTGTTCCCCAGGCACTGGCCACCTCTTTTTTTTTTTTTTTTTTTTTTTTTGTCTCTCAGGGACCTGGGGCCTGACAAGTAGGTTCTTCTGGCTGACCATGAGCCCACGGATCCACATGTCTCTGTCTCCCCAGCTAGAGGATCACCAGTGCCTACACCATGCCTGGCTTTTTAAAGCTGTGTTCTTGGGATTAACCTCCGGTCCTCACTCTCATGCTTAAGACAAGCTGCCTCCCAGTCCAGAACACTGGCCACACACACTTCTCTTCGGGGGAAAAATGGAAGAGAAGGACTGTGTGGTCCTTGACATGTAACAAATGTTCTCCCCCTTTTCGGTCTCAGTCTACTTCCGTACTGAAGCGCTAACAGACATGCGGTAAGGACGGCAAGAAGATGGGGTCAAATTATGGTGTCATCTCACTCTTTCACTTAAGATCCTTCTATGGCACCCCAGTGCCCCTGGGGTGAAGCCCCAAATCCTTTCCTTGGGTCAGCTGAGTAGGAACCACCCCTCCTCTGTAGCCTCTTCCAGCCCCCACCCACTTCTCTGCCGCAGCCTGCCTAGTCTTCCTAAATCCCTCCAAGCCACAGTCTCTCATGACACAACCTTCCCACCCCATCCCACCCTCCATCACGCTGGCCCTTGTCTTCCAGCTCTGAGCTCAAGCTTTTTGAGCAGACAGTTTTCTCTCTTGTGTCTAGAATTTTGATGATCCAGTAGGACCCCTCCACTTCCTGTTACCCAAAGGGTCCATTTGAGCAGGATGGCTATGGGAGGAGAGTCCGTTGGGGCACTCCACCTGTGTTGGGATGATGACGCTGTCCAGTCCCATGAAGAATTCGTGGACTCACACTGTAGTCCTGTGTCCCCCAGAGAGAACTGGGGGCAGTGATGCTATGCTAGCATCTGGGGTTGGCTTCCTACCTAGGACCAGCCATCTAGTATGATTTGAGGGCATTGGGTACTAATGGGGCCAGTTTGGGAAACTTTAGCCCCTCCTCTGGTAGCCACAGCCATTTTTCTAGGCCCCCTATCCCTTTCTGGTCTAGCCTGGGCAAAGTGTGTCCCAGTTTCCCACCTTACTGACAGCCACTACCTCCTTCCATAGGGCACTTCCCTGTCCCCAGCTGAGGCGACAGTGCAGAAGCCCGGGCCTTGCCCCACTGCCCACTTCCTCAGTCTGTGCTGTGAGAGCTCTCTGCCTTTGGTATCTGCCCATGGCCCAGAGTCAGGGAGACTGCAGAAGCAAGCAGGCTGGGGGCAGGGCCTGCTGGAGCCAGACATGTTTTACGGCTCTGCCCAGACTGTTAATGGCCTCTGTGACATTGCTGCTCCAGCACCAGCCGCAGAGCGGTCATCCATCAGGGGGCGCCTCCCCAACAGCCCCCCTCCTCACAGGTCATCTGTCCTGAGAGGGAATGCCGCCAGGAGACTTGTCATTTCCTGGCCGGGGGCTAGAGAGTGGCTGGCATCATCCACTCCAGCCAGGCTCAGCAAGGACATGGAGACCCTAGCCAGGAAATGGCCAGGCGTGCATGCATGTGCACACACATGTGTAGGTGTTTGTTCATTCATGCCTGTGCACCCAAATGTCTATCCTTGGATATGTGTGTCCATGAGAACATGTTTGTGGGTGTCATGTACAAGCCTGTGAATATTAGTATGTGAGTTCATTTACCTTGCACAAGTGTTTGTTTAAATGTGCTCTATGGTTGTGTGCCTGTAGACATGTCCATGTGATTCTGTGGCCCTAACGTGTTCTTCGGTAAGCCTGTGTGTGTGCCTGGCCATGTGCCTGCCTGGAAGCGTCTCTCTCAGTGTGTGTGTCTGCATCCCTGAATGTTTGTCTCTTCATTTAACCAGTAACAACGGCACCCACTCGATGCTGGCCTTGTCCTTGCTGAGGTTACCGCACTGAATACTCTCTGCTTATGTTCATCAGGGGAACAGACAGGAAAAAAAAATGAAAACCTAAGTTGGAGGCTGGGGATATAGTTCGATTGGTAAAGCACTTGCCACGAAAGCATTGAGGCCATGTGTGGTCCCCAGAACCCACATTAAAAAGCCAGGTGTTGTAATCCCAGGACTAGAGAGGAGGTACATGTGGGTCCTGGTAAACAATCCTAGCCTACTTCGGCCCGCTTCAGGCAAGTGAGAGACCATGTCTCAAAAAAACATGGCTGCCATCTGAGAAATGACACCAGAGGTTGCCCTCTGGCCTCCACACACATGCAGGACTATGCACACCTGCACATATATGCACACCGTCATATAGATGAACACATGCAACAAATTAAGCTGGGTCAAGAGAGAGACTTCGGGTGGGAACGGGATACTATTTTAGCAGAGTGCTCAGAGAGGGCTTCTCAGTGCAGGTGACACTGAGCAGAAGTACACACACACACACACACACACACACACACACACACACACACAGAGGCATGCACACGCGCATGCATGCACACACGTACTCACATTAAGTTAGGTCAAGAAAAAGATGGTAGGAACGGAATGCTATTTTAATAAGCATAAGGAGATTTACCGGATTGGCTTTCAGAATGGATCTGAGTATCCCAACAGTGTCTGTCTCACACTGGAGAGGCCAAGCATCCAGTAGTTGCTTTGTCCTCAAGTCTCGACGATGTCTCAGCAGTCCTGATCTAGTGCCGAAGGCCTGGAGGATTCCCAGAGAGCTGCTGGTCCTCAGTCTGTTTCAGAATCCTGAAGAAGCCAAATCAACAGCAGAGATGGACTTGCCAGAAAGAGTGAGGGTGAGCGGCAGGCAAAGGCCATGTCCTTGTTTCTGGGCTGCCACCAGAAGGTGTCACCCAGACAGGGTGGGTTTTCTTGCTTCGAATAATCTGATGAAGAAAATCCCTCAGGGGAGTGCCCAGCGGCTTAGGTTTAGTTGATTCCAGATGCAGTGAAGTCAACAACCAAAATCAGCCATCACAAACATGGAGGACCTGCCAAAAAGTAATAGCCTGAAGGATTTGGCCAAATTCTAAACAGTTTGAACATTAGAAAGAATGGCCGTCATGGGTTATAGCACACAGAATAAAAAAGTAATCCGTAAATCTTCATCAATATTCCCAGAGAGCACAGAGAAAAGCTCTTCGCAGATAAAAATGTACTGTACTGATAGAAGAAATGGTAAAATTATGAAAATCACCATTTTGCAGTCATCAAAGCAGTATTTGATTCAAGTAAGGCTCCCTCATGGATGCTAACATCTTTGAGTGAAATCTTAAGGAATGCAATATGGCCACATAAGTTTCAAATATACTCAGAAAATTATTTTCCTATTTCAAGTAGGGCATCTTCTTTCCCAGGGCAGAATCTGGTAGCTGCCCATTAGCCAAGTGGCTGAGATATCAGAGTTGCTGACAGTGGACTACATGGAGTAGTTTGAACATGGACCCTGCAGGGTTGCCCTTGAATTGAACCAGACATTGAAGAGCTCAGAAGATATTGACTGGCTTCCACATTTGGGACTTGATCAATTTGATAAGAGGTGTTTATTGAGATGGGAAGATGGGAAGAAAAGCAAGCTCCTCATGCTGGCAGGCTATGTTCTAGGTACCATGCAGTAGAGTTGTTGAAGAGGCAGCTTGCTTTATGAACTTTATGAGTGGTAACTTGTGACTGGTTAGAGATGGAGAGGGGAATTCAGGAGTCTCTCCTACTGTGTGACTGGGGTGTGCACCGTTATCCCGTGATGTTGTTTAGGGAGAGAGTGCATATGGCATGTCCCAAGGCTCAGGCTGTGCCTGGTGCTCAGTATGAGTAGAAGCCTGAGAAGAGGAGCTAGAAATGAGGGAGGCACCAAAAGAAGACCCCAAAACTAGTCAACAAAGGCACTCAGAGCAGCGGAGTGGCCAGCTAGGATGAAGGCTGAGGAAGGTCAGGTCTGATGAGATGGAGGGAGGCCAGCTTCCCCTTCCTCTGGGCAAGGGAAGCTCCAGGGGCTGGGGTGTTTGCACACTGATGGCAGTGACCCAGGAGAGGGAGATGGTGGCCAGAGATGAGCACCAAGGAAGAGTTGCCAGAGCCATAGTCTCCAGCAGGTAACACAGATGCAAGCCAGGCTGCCAGGGTAGGATACTGGTGAGATGGAGCCTCTTCAGCCACTTCGGCGGGAGGGAGTCAAACGTGAGCATAGCTCTGTCTGTGTGCATGTGTGTCTGGAGTTCACTGAACAAAAGACAGGCTGTTCTGTGACTGTCTACGTCACAGAGTGGGTAGCATCTACATAGTGGATACACAGGCAGGATAGCATTATTGGAGTGAGATTTCGTTTCCCAGCATACAATCAAAACGTATGGATTTTTTATCCCTGGGATTGCCCATTTAGCAGTTTTATAGTTTGAGCTGCAGTTGACTGTGAACTACTGAAACGGTGTAAAACAAACCCACAGTCCAGGAGACAGGGACTGAGTTGTGTGTGGGGGGGTGTGTGAAAATACGTTTTAATGGATGCTAGCTAGCTTTCACTCTGTCCTATAGATATCAGGTGGCTTTGGGCATTTTAGAAAGATCACTGGGGAGAATGGAGGTTGCCAGTTTGTAGGCCATCATGCCAGACACTCCCTCTGTAATAACATGGCTTCCAGCTCACCAGGGCACCAGATAACCAAAGGGTCAAGTTTATCATCAGTCATTGCAAGTTGCCACACACTCACACCACCGCCGCCACCGCCGCCACCACCACCACCACCACCACCACCACCACCACAACAACAACAACAACACAGACTGGGTAAGAAACCACAAAAGCTAATTTTCTCAAAGCTGTGGGGGTGGATGTGTGGGGTAAGGTTAAGGTGCCACTTACTCTGTTTCTAGGGAGGGCCTCCCTGGGCTGTAGACAACTGCCTTCTGGCTGTGTCCTCAGGGCACACGGAGGATTCCAAGTGCCCCTTCTTAGACAAGCACTGGATCACTAACCCTGCGGCTGGCGAGATGGCTCAGCGGTTAGAAGCTTGTGTTGTTCTTGCAGAGGACCCAGACTTGGTTCCCAGCACCCACATGGCAGCCCAAACATCTGTAACTCTAGTTCTAGAGCATCTGAAGCCCTCTTCTGGAACCCATGGGCACTGCATGCATATGATGCACAGGCATGACACCCACCTGTTGTAGAATATTATTTTAAGGTGTGTTACTTTTGTTTATGTTGCATTTGTTTAACTCTGTGACGCTGTATTACTTGGCCTTTCTAAAACATCTGATGGTCTAATAAAGAACTGAACAGGCCAATAGCAAGGCAGGAGAAAGGATAGGCAGGGCTGGCAGGCAGAGAGAATATATAGAAGGAGAAATCTGGGAGGAAAGAAAAAAGAAGTAGCCAGAGAAGGAGGAAGACATCAGGGGCCAGCCATCCAGCCACACAGTAAGCCATGGAGTAAGAGTAAAATTTACAGAAGTAAGAGAATGGGAAAAGCCCAGAGGCAAAAGATAGATGGGATAATTTAAGTTAAGGAAAACTGGCTAGAAACAAGCCAAGCTAAGGTGGTACCTTTATAATTAAGAATAAGCCCTGATTTATTTGGGAGCTGGGTGGCAGGCCCCCAAAAACAGCAAAAGCAAACAACAATATACACCCAAAAACATAAAATAAAAATAAATAAATCTTTTTAGAAACTAAAAATTTTTAAAAGACACTAATTCCATCAGGAAGTCCCATCCTCATGATCTCACCTAACTCTAAAGGCTGCCTTCCAAATACATTGGGGGTCGGGGCTTCAGTATATGAGCAGGGCTATTAGTTGAAGGATTATGTGTGTGTGTGTGTGTGTGTGTGTGTGTGTGTGTGTGTGTGTGTTTAAAATAGATTTTTCCATATTGATTTCCAAAAACAGGCAGAATTAATTCTATTGTCATCAGTTATCCTTAAAAAAAATCTACTTTTTCTTCCATTCTCTCCAGGAGTAGGTGTGAACGTTCTTGAATCTTTGCCAATAGTATGGGTGAGAAGCAATACCACGTTGTTATTTTAATTTGCATTTCCCTGAGTGGAGAAGCCCCAGCCATATGTTTATTGGCCATTGGGGTTTACTCTTCTCTGAGCCTATTCATGTCCTGGGAACAGTTTTCTGTCTGATGCTTTGTCTTTTTCTTAACAATTTGCAGGAGCTGAAAATTAACCCTTTGTCTGTCACAGGCACCGTGAACACATTTGCCTCCAATTTAATGTGTGTCTTTTAATGCTGTTTATAGAAATCTACAAGTGTTTAAATTTTATCCAGTGATGGGGCTGGTAAGATGGCCAATGGGCAAAGGAGCTTGCTAGCTAGTCTGATGGCCTGAGTTAGGTCCCAGGAGACAACCAACCTCCAAAAATTCTTTCACCTCCATACATGCAGAGTGACCCTTGAATGAATGAATGAGTGAATGAATGGAAGAATTTTTAAATTAAGCTTTATGTAGTACATTCCCTTCCAATAACAACATAGAACCTGACAAAGGGCTGTTGTCCTAGATCATGATAATAAAACCTGAACAAAATGTGCAAAAGGCTCTGTGACCATGACCCAAAGCAGGCAGTAATCAGAGACTAGCCCTCGTAAGGAGTGAAATTCACGGTGTGAGGCTCTTATCTGCACATGTTTGTGTTTCGGGCAGGCCTCATGTGGGACCTCATGAGCTAAACTGGATGGGAATCAGGGCTGTGACTCCTCCAGGGCAGGATGGGAATCTTCCATAGAGGCTGGAGAGTTAGGGGTGTGGAGACCCCAGGAAGGAAGAATCCGTCACTGCGATGCCAGAATATGATTAGAAACTCCACCCAAGCCTCAGGCTGTTTTTGAACTATGCATCCACTTAAGAAACTTCTAGAATCCTAACAAGGACAAAACTATATGAACAGAGAATTTAGCTATTTGTCTACCACAGTTGAAGTTCAGCCAAATGAAATAAAAAAAATTTTAGCCAATATAATATTATTTTTAAATCATATATTTTTATACTAAAATGAAACATATGCTTCAGAAGAAGATTAAAAAATACAGAGTTCCTAAAGCTAACTGCCAACAGCGTCCTGGTCATGCTCCAAAATTATTGACTTGTGACAATATGAGATAATATAATCCATATTCAATAGGGAAGGTCATCAATGGAGGCCACCCTCAAGATGACCCACATCTTAGAATTAAGAGAAAAAATATTTTAAGGCTATTGTTATAACTCTGCTCAAGGACATGGAGGGAAGTATGCCAGCAATTAATGATTAGAAAGAAAACATAAGCAAATAAACACGTACAAAATGTCATAGTTGGCTTCATTGTCAACATGTTACAGACCTCAAGTCACCTGGAAAAGGGACCCTAAACTGAGGAAATAACTGCCCAGAGCAGACCAGTCTGTGGTCTGTTAGTTTGTTATGGAATATTACTTTAACTATGTAAAGAAGTGTGGCATTTGTTTATGCTGCATTTGTTTAACTATGTAAAGATGTGTTGCTGTTTTACCTTGCCTGCCTAAGGCACCTGATGGTCTAATAAAGAGCTGAATGTCTAATCGCTGGTCAGTAGAGGGATAGGCAGGGCTGGTGGGCAGAGAGAATAAATAGGAGGAGAAATCCAGACTTGAGAGAGAATGAGGGAGAAAGAGGAGACACCAGGTAGCCACCAGCTAGACATGGAGGAAGCAGGAAAATAGGACATACAGAATGAAAGAAAGGTAAAAAGCCCTGTGGCAAAATGTAGATGAATAGAAACAGATTAAGCCATAAGACCTTGTGGGACAAGCATAAGCTAAGGCTGAGCATTCACAATTAATAATAAGTCTCTGTGTCATGATCTGGGGGCTGGCAGTCTAAGAAAGTCGGCTACAGGTGGTACCATGCACAGGCAGGTAGGCCTGGGCTGCATAAAAAGGTAGCTGAGCAAGTCAGAGGGAGCAAGCCAGTAAGCAGCAGTCCTCCATGGTCTCTGCTTCAGCTCCTGCCTCAAATTCCTGCCTCGTGTCATTCCTACTCAAGTTTAAATGTGTGCTATGAGGTAAGGATCCAATCCCGTTTTCTTACAAAAACGTAGCTGCCCTTTTCACTTTTTATCAAATTTGTTTTTGACAATTTCATACGTGCATATCATGTATTGGATGATGCTCTCCCCCTGTTCTCATGCCTTTCTTCCATTCCCGTCACCGCCCCTGCCTTCCCCAGATTCATGACTTTGATTTTGTTTTGTGACCCACTTGGCTTAGTCAGGGCCACTTCCATGAGCACTGGATGAGAGTTATCTGTTGTAACCTGTGGGGTCCTCAGTGGGTAAGCAACTGAAAGCAGTGACTTCCCTCTCCCTGAATCTTTCCCCAGTCACCAGCTCAGCAGTGAGGGGCAGGGCGTCATGAGCACCTCTTCCATCCATGCTTGACCGCCAACAGGCAGACCTCCAGGCATCCACAGCCACTGGGTGTTCCCAGAGCTTGGCATTTCAGTCCTTCTTCCTATCATTGGACTCTTATGTTCTTTCCTCCCCGTCTTCCGAAATGTTCCTTGCGTCTTGGAGGGGATGGTAAAAATTGTCTTGTTGCGGGGTAGGTACTCATCTGCCATTTATTCTCAGAGACAGCAGCTTTTTGCTAGTGTAATTTGTTAGTTTATTTTTTTACAAAGTTGAAATACTGTGTATTGAATTGGTGTGTGTGTGTGTGTGTGTGTGTGTGTGTGTGTGTGTGTGTGTGTGTGTGTACATTTCTGGTGATCACTTACTTTTGTTTGGAGGTTTTTCTGAAATCCAATAGACCCTGAAAGTATATTGTAGAGGACAGAGAGATGGTTAAACGCACCTACTGCTTGTTCAGATGACTGGAGTTCACTTCCCAGCACATGGCGTCTCACAATGGTCTGTAATTCCAGTTCCAGGTGATGCTCTCTTCTGGCCTCCATGGGCACTGCACACACAGGGTGCACATACATACGGGAAAAACATTCATGTACCCAAAATAAAAGTAAATAAATCTTAAAAAAGAAATACTACTTTTGCATTTGGAAAAAAGGTGCATTTTAATATGTTAGGCAAAGCGAAACCATTAAAAGCACCTCTTTGTATGCACATTCCTTCAAATATAGATTCTTGGCCATTCTTATATATTTATTCACTTACAATAACTTTATGACCACTTGATCTAATTAAAAATGTTAGACATGCATGTAATTCGAGTGCTTGAGAGGCTGTGGTAGGAGGGTTGCCAGTTAAGGCCAGCCTGAACCACATAGAGACCCTGTCTTAAAGGAGAGGAGGAGGTACTGTAGCCGGAATTACATTAAATTTGTATGTTATGTTGGGAGAATTGACCTCTCTTTGTGAGGTGTGTGTGTGTGTGTGTGTGTGTGTGTGTGTGTGTGTGTGTGTGTGTACATGGAGACCAGAGAATGACTTCAAGTGTCATTCCTCAGGAGCCATCTCCCTGTCACTGTCCTGGAACTAAGCAGGGTAGGCTTGCACAACCTGGGGACCCACCTGTCTCTGCCTCCCTGGAGCTAAGATGTCAAGCTGGCACTACCACACCTCACTCTTCTGCGCAGCCTCCAGGGCTTGAACTGGCTGCACAGGGAGCGCTCTCCCGACTGTGCGGTCCCCCCAGCTCAGTCTCCCGACTGTGCGGTCTCCCCAGTTGAGAACTGATGTGCTTAAATCAAGGCTCCATCCAGATGTACAGTATATATTTCCAATTTCTTCACATTATGTATTTAAAAGCCTGAATACATTTTCACAATTCAATGAGAATCGAGGTGAAGTTGAGAATATTTTGTGCATTTTTGTATTCCAGCATTTGTTGAAATTATTTAGCACAATTCTTCTCTCAGTCAAAGTAACCTGTGTCTTATGCTCGATGACAGTTTCATGCTAGTTTATTTCATTGTCAATATGCTTGTCTGTTGAAACATCTTAAGCCGGCATGGTGGCGCATGCCTATGATCCAGCACTAGGGAGTAGAGGTAGGTGGATTTCTGTAAGTTTGAGGTCAGTTTGGGATACTTTTTTTTAAGTCAAAAAGGCTAATTTATACACATCTAAAGTTTTCCAGACAATTCATAAACCTATAAAGAATAAAGTAAACAATGCCTGGAATTCTCCACCACTTTTTGGTGTATTTAATACCAGAGTATTTTCCCATTTTCTGTACACAAACATGCGCTCATATCTGCACACATGCATACTTAGTACACAAATTCATGTGCACTTGCATCATCTAATGTACATATCTCAGATATTTACATGAATCTTACATATACATATACATACACACTCAGATGGGCTGACACTAATAAGAATGGGCTTTTAACTACATCATGATCATCTCTTAACACACATTACCATTTTTAGAAAAATGTGTAAAATAAGGGTGCAAAGAACTTCCTTAACAAATCCATTTTTTTTTGTTTTGAGACAGGGCATCTCTATGTAGCCCTGGCTGTACTGGAGCTTGCTATGTAGACCAGGCTGGCCTTGGTTTTGATGTGATTGGTTCTGCTTTATAAGAGCCAGGACTATAGGCATGTGCACCACAGCCAGCCTACGCTCGTTGTTGAATGTGCATGTACACATCTCTCCTGTTCCGCATCAGCTACTTACTCTCTTCCTGTAATCTTCTTGGAACACAAGTTCTTGATTTCAGTGTTTCATCGTCTGTACTTAGCCTGGTGTGATCTGTTTAAGACACGTTGGCCTGGTCCTTGGCTCTATGATGACCTCCTTCCTGTCTCTCTAATGCTTTTTCTTTTGTTGTTCACTTGCTGATCAGCTGGGATTGATGTGATGGGAGTTAGGAATCAGAAACTCTTGTTTTCCATGGACATCCAGTTAACCCAGCACCAATTTCAGGGGATCTGAGTTCGGTTCCCAGCGCCATGTCAGGAGGTTCACAACTACATATGACTCCAGATTCAGGGGATGTGACACCCTTTAATTGTCTCCACAGGTGCCCCCTTTACACATAGTACAAACACACACACACACACACACACACACACACACACACACACACACACAGACCCACAGACCCACAGACAGACAGACACACATGCACATAGACGCAGGCAGAAAGACAACAGAGACACAGACAGACAGAGACAGATAGATACATACACACACAGAAACCCTCAGACACATACACACACAGACAGATACACTCACATAGACACACAGAGAAACCCTCAGATAGACACATACACATACAGACACAGATGCACACAGACATACACAGAGAGATGACAGACACACAGACAGAGACAAACACACACACAGACAGATACACTCACATAGACACACAGAGAAACTCTCAGACAGAAACATACACACACAGATGCACACAGACATACACAGATAGATGACAGACACACAGAGACGACAGACAGACCCGGACACACACACACACACACACACACACACACACACACACACACACACTTTTTCATTGTGCTGCTCTTGTTACAGGTGAGAACATGCATGAACTAGGGAGGTAGAATGCTTGACTAGAATGCATGTACACAGCCTGGGTTCAATCCCCAGCATCACAAAGACAAGACAAAATGGAACTTCCCCCAAAGCATCAACACAACATAGGCAGTAGAAGAGTTCCACACACTAAGTCAGGTGCCATGGCACAGTCTCAATCCAGCATCAACAGGCAGATCCCTCGGGCTCCCAGCCAAGCAGTCGAGCCTTATCAGAGAGCCCTAGGTAATGGGATTAATCCACAGAGTCTATTTAATGAGCAAAAAATGTATTTGGGGGTTTACTCACAACCACAGGAGATTTATTGTAAGGTCCAGGAAAGTTGAGTTATGTCCCATGCTGATCTGCCTGGTCCAAGATCTCAGCATCCCAAACCATGAGGTAACCAAGAGAGATCGCGTACATGCATCCAGGTGTTAAGGGTCCCCCAGTGGCCACACCCAAGGGGCATGTACCTCAAGGTCATAGACAGATGTAACAGTTACCTGCTACCTCACTAGGGGCTGTGCTTCAGGGCATGGCTCAAACAACCATCCACTACATCTCCCCCTTTTGTTTAAATAAGAAAGTTCTAACCTAACACAAAACCATATACAATAGGAATGATTATTAAGTATTGTCCAGCAGAAATAATGGGTAATGACCTAAGCAAAATGGAACTACAGCCAACAAGAACACCAAACAAGAGACACATATTCAAATCCAGAGATGTCCAGAACATAGGTAAATGGTATGTTAGAGAGATTATTCCAAAAGCTGTCCTATCCTGAAGAAACTGAATCTAGTACTTAGTGTGTTTTTTTATGTGGAAAACTTGAACATTTTTAATATCAAAATGGAAAGTTTGTATTTATTCTGGATAGAGAAAGGATCCGCCGAAAGCAAGGACAAGCATGGAAAGAAATAGGATCTTGACAGCAATGGTCCCTTTTTGTCGGTTTTCTTCTGCCCCACACCAGGCAGCTCTTCTGATATGAGACAGAATCTCTTAACTTTTTCTTCTAGCAACATGCTTGCATTTAGAGAAGGAGAGAGCCATATTCCAACTCCAAAGCCAGCTTGATTTATAACTGAATTGGAACCATAACTTTTTTTTCTAGGGTTAAAGAGATATAGATGTTAGGCAGTGAGATATTACCCTGTGTATATTGGTACCAATAGATTCATTCCTTTTGCTATAGACATCTCGGTATCCAAGGCCTTATGATTTTTTGAAAATGGGTGTTTCTATTATCCTGTAAAGACAAAAAACAGAACCTTGCCCCAACCCTTGTTTGTTGAGTCTTTCTTACAACTTGTAGAGATGTCACATCGGTGGATGAGCTTTTACTTCTCTTCATCAAGGGGTTTCTGCTGTTCAAGTTGAATTTTTTATTGATTTTGTTGGTATCCATAGCGTTTCTTCTCCTGCAGAAACAAAAGCAAAACCCCTTCCCCAACGTAGAACATATCCTGGTTTCCATTCTGGGGTCAACACATCTTTGAAGTAAGCAGGTTAGTTTAGCTCAGGAGTTTTTTCAGTTGTCCAGTGTCTCTCTGCAGCTGTTGTCCCTTTCCCATCAGCATTGAGAAAATTCAAGGTTAATAAAGCATTGTGTAATCTATTTCTAGCGGTCATTGTTACCTCTTTCTGTTTATTTAGCATATATCCTTTAAAGTTTAGTTGGATATTTCTATGACTGCTTGGCCTGTAGGATTGTGTGATATACCTGTAATATGCTTTATATTGTAATAAGCAAAAAATTGTCTCATTTTATTTGAGACGTATGCTGGAGCATTGTCAGTCTTAATTTGTACAGGTATTCCCATGATGTGCATAACTTCCAATAGGTGTGTAATCACAAAATCAGCTTTTTCAGCACTCATAGGAGTTGCCCATTGAAATCCTGAATTGGTGTCAATGGTATGGCATACATATTTTAATCTTCCAAATTCTGTGAAATGAAACACATCCATCTGTCAAATTTCATTTCTTTGTATACCTTTTGGATTGCTTCCTGCAGGTAATGGAGTTTGGTTATAGAAGGAACAAGTAGGACTTTTATTTTTAAAACAGTTTCCTTGGCTTGTTGCCAAGTGATGGAGAGAGAAATCCTTCTTCAAACCCTTGCCATTTACATGGTGTTTCTTATGAAATTCTGAGGCTTCTAGCATATTACCTATTATTAACTGATTATTGCCTTGTTCCACAGAACCTGGGTTTAATTCCCAGCACCCACTAGGTGCCAGTGAGAGATCCTCTCAAAACAATGATGTGGATAGCTCCTGAGGAACACACCAGAGGTTGGACTCTGTCCCCTGACCCCCTGCCCTACCACACTGAGTGGGTCTGCTCCAGACTCTTCCTCTGTCCTCCTGGGTAGTTTGTCCTTGTGACCAAACCACTCTCATTATTATAGTACTTTAAAAAATCTTGCTGTTCAAGTTTTATTCCTCTTCTTCAAATTCTTCTCCTCCATTCTTGGTCCTGTTAGACTCCTGTGTTTGGTGTGCACTTTCCAACCCCAGGCCTTTGCATGTATCCCCTCTGCTGAGACTCCCTGACTTTCTAGGTTCTTATATTTCATCTCCAGGGTCACTTCCTCAGAGATGCCTCCTGTGACCTGGCTAATTGCCCCAGGGAAGCACACCACACTAACCCACTTTCCATTTGTAATATCGCTTACCACTGATTTTACATTTACTCCTGTGAGTATTTGATCATAACTCATCTACTGGGTTCCCCCGGGGAGAGGGCCATGGTGATTTTCTTTATTGATGTAATAAGGGTTCAACACAACCAGACATACCATCAAAAGTTTTTACATAAGTGAAGAAAAGGGTCCCTTGTTTATGGTGATCCATGTGTACCTGTCCACGTGTGCCCTTGCTTGTGTCTGAGCAAAACTTTCAGTGTGCTATTCTGGTGGGAACAGTGACACACCACCCTCACGGCAGGAGACTGGTGCAAATCGGACTCCTCCACTCCCCACCCCCCTCCGCTGTCCATATCTGCCCTGCATGACGAGGAAGATGCTGCCTCTCTGCTGTCCATACCTGCCACCCTCTCCTCTCTGCGTGACGAGGAAGATGCAGGTCTCCAGCTGCCTCTCCGCTGCCCTTGTGCAGTTCTCTGCCAGTTGTGCACGCCGATTGCTATGAATGCCACCATCTGGTATGCCACGTGGACATCATAATCTTTTCTTAATTACATTAGCAGCACAATCAGTTACTGCATTACAAGGCCGGCGATGAGCTTTTAAATCTTGGTGGAAATCATAAATAATTGCACTAAGTACCAGGCGCCAGATGTGTGTGCCAACTTTGGTTGCACTAGATAAATAGTAACCTTACCAGAGTGTTAGACAGCAGGCGGTCCGGCCGGCCACAGGGCCACACCACACCTGGGCCTCCTCTGCAGGAAGGCATCGTCAGCGCTCACCCTAAGGCAGCCTGTGGAAGGAGGCAGGGGCTCTGGGAGGTGTGGGTGCTAGCGAGAGAAGCTGATGCTTAGGGCCAGAGCCAGACTGCGTGAGGACAAAATGTTGAGAAAGACAAAGAGAAAATGAAGTGGGTGGATTGGGAGGGAGGAAGAGGGGAAGAGAGGGAGGGAGGGAGGGAGGGAGGGAGGGAGGGAGGGAGAAACAGACAGAGAAACAGGGACAGAGAAACACACACAGAGGGGTGGAGAATATGAAGAATGGGAGGGAAGGGACGGCCACAAGCCGCACTGAAGACAGCTTGAATGTGGCAGGGACACAAAGACACGGAGCCTCAGAAATCCCAGGAGCCGGAGGCTGGGGAGACACAGGGAAGCCTTGTTTCAGCTGAACTGGCTGGCAGCTGGCAGGGACCCCAGCACCAGCTCAACTGCTGGGGCAAGAGCCATGTGACCAGAGAGTGGGTGGGTGAAGCTGTGGCCAGGCCTAGTGGGCTTCCGATAGAAGGGTTCTTTTCTTTCCTCTCCTTGAGTCTAAGAGGGAGGGAGGTGTCATGGCAGGCCCAGAAGTGACAGTTTCCTTTTGCAAAGGTCATGGCAGAAGCTTCCAATAGATGGGAGGAGGCTCAGGGCTAGGGAAGTCTTTTGGTGGGAGTGTGTGTGTGTGTGTGTGTGTGTGTGTGTGTGTGTGTGTGTGTGTGTGTATTTGAGCAATCTGATAAGTTAGCCAGGTCAAGTGCAGGCCAGAGGATAACAATGGTGTGTGGGAAAGCATAGAGACAGAGAGAGACAGAGACAGAGACAGAGACAGAGACAGAGAAACAGAGATAGAGACAAAGAGAGAGGGAGATAGGTAGGTAGATAGATAGATAGATAGATAGATGATAGATAGATAGATAGATAGATAGATAGATAGATAGATAGATAGATAGATAGATAGATAGATAGATGATAGATA